CTCTTTCTCTGTCTTTCATCTCTATCTCTCTCCTCTCTCACTCTCCTTTTTTCTTTTCTTTCTCTCTCCCTTTCTCCTCCCCATCTGTCTCTTTCTCTTTCTTTTCCCCTGTTTCTATCCCTAGACTCTTCCTCCCCCCAGCCCATATTCTCAGGCCCCTCCCTCTATCTCCCCATCTCTCTTTCACTCCCTCTCTACCCCCACCCTCAAGCCCCCAGGTAGTCCTCTTCCTCCTCCTTTTTCTTCTCTCCTCCCCCACCATCTCTCTTCTTCCACCTACCATCTGTCTGTCCCCATTCATAAGCCCCCAAGCCCATCCTTTTCTGTCCCTATTCCCTACAGACCCCCAACCCATACACTCAAGACCCTTCCTCTCTCTACCTCTCTATCCCTCCTCACAGGCCCACAGGCCCCTATATTTCTCTATTCTCTCTCTCTCTCTCTCCCTCTCTCCCTCCTCCTTCTTCTCTGTCCCCCTCTCCCCCACCCTTTCTTTCCCCCTATCTTTGCCTCCACTTACAGCCCCACAGGTCCTTTCTTTTCTCTCTCTCCCTCTCACTCCATGCCCTCAACCCTTACCCTCATGACCCTTTCTCTCTGTCCCTCTTCATAGGCCCACATTGCCCCAACCTTTCTTTCCCTTTCTCTCTCTGTCTCTCTCTCTTTCTTTCCCCTTTCTGTCTATCTTTCCCTCTCCCCATCTCTCTGTCCCCACTCACAGGCCTCTAGGCCTCTCCCTACCCCCCCACAGACCCTCAGTTCATACCCCCAGATTCTTCCATCTCTCTTCCCTCCTTCTGTCCCCACTCAGATACCCCCAGGACTCTCCCTCTCCACCCCCACCATAGGCATTCAGTCCACACCCTTGGTCCCCTCTTTGTCTGTACTCACAGGCTTCCAGCCCCACAGACCCCCAACTCATACCCTTAAGACCCTTCCTCTCTTTTCCCATCTCTTTGTTCTACCCTCCTCCCCCCCACGAGGCCCCAACCCTTCTCCCCTTTTGTCTTTCTGTCTCTCCTTTTATCTCTTTCTTTTTCCTCTTGGTCTCTGTTTCTCTCTGTCTCCCCCCCCCCCCTTTTCATTCTGTTTCATCCCCTTTTTCACTCTCTCCTCTCTGTCTCTCCTTTTATCTTTCTTTCTCACTCTTTTTCCTCTTGGTCTCTGTTTCTCTCCCCTCTCCACCTTCTTTTTCATTCTCTGTCTCTCTCATCTTCTTTCTCACTCTTTCTTCTCTGTCTCTCCTTTTATCTCTCTCACTCTCTTTTTTTTCTTCTTGGTCTCTGTTTCTGTCCTCCCCTTTTTCATTCTCTCTCACTCTCATCCCTTTTCTCACTCTCTCCTCTCTGTCTCTCTCTTCCTCTTCCTATCTCTCTGTCCCTTGTCACAGGTCTCCAGGCCCCTTCTTCTTTCTTACCATTTCTCTGTCCTCCCTCTCTCTCCCCCTCTCTTGGACCCCCAACTCTCCTCCATCTCCCTTCTCTCTCCCTCCCTTCCTTTTTTTTTTGTTCCTATCCACAGTCACCACTAAAGAGGTGGAAGTCCATCAGTCAGCAAGCATTCCTTGTTTGCTGTATTGCCAATCCCTTTCCTTTATGCCAAATGTGAGGTTTCATTTGGGTGACCTCTTTGTTCTAGGTGCCTTCCTCCAATAAAGGCATATGTATCTGCTCCTGTAAGTCCTCAGAGGCAGTGTGTAGTTGTGGCTGGAGGACTGGAGAGAGTCAAGATTACCTGTGTTTGAATCCTGTCTCAGGCTTTTACTAGCTAGGTGACCCTCATCAAGTCACTTAATCTTTTGGTGCCCCAGTTTATGCATCTATAAAATGGGGATATTAATGACACCTACCTTGCAGGTTTGTCATTGGGAGAACCAGTTGAGAGAAAGTCTGTAAGATGTTTTACACCCTTTAAATAAATACTTGGTTCATAAGGAATTAGAGTAATGCCATAGAATAGCCAATGGGAATGTGTTGGCAATAACAAGAAAGAGCTGCCATTTACCAAAGACCCCATGATTGATCTCCTGCATTGGCTCCTGCTATTGAGGTGGGTGGCTTCCCAACCTCCTGAGCAGGATCTGGAGCCAGCCAGCCAGGAGCCTGATGAGCTCAGGCTGGAGCTGAGGGGCAGCTTGAGAGAAGGAAGTAGCTCCCCTACCCTAAGTATTCATCCAGAAGACATTGTTAACTTTTTCCCAAGCATCTGGCTGCCACCTGGCCATGTGTCCATGCCGTGGCACCCCTGGGGAGTAGAAATGGCCAGGGTGTGGCAGGGTGGGTTGGGTACGGGGGACATCTTCAGCCTCCGGGGACTGGAAGGGTTCAGAGGGACTCTGGGTTGGGATGCCTTGGGAAGGAATGCATTGGAAATAGTGTATATCCAGGGCCCTTTTAGATCCCAGAGGTGTGAACCATCTGAACTTAGGTTATCAGTGGGGCAGGTTGGGTATGACTGATTAATGGGAGGTTCCCAGCAAGAGGAACAGTCAGACCTGCAAAGAATCCTGGGACTCTTGTAAATTCCAGGCTGTTGAGGCTGTTCAAGAGGCCTCATTCCACTGTGGCCTGTCTGTAAGCTAGGTGGGCTCTAACAGCAAGTGGCACAAGGCTTGCTTGCCACCCTCTTCTTCTTCTCCCCAGCTTTTCTAGGCAGTGAGGAGCCCCTGAAGCAGAGAAAGGAGATGGTCAGATCTGTGTATGTTAGACAAATGAGCATAGATACCATGTGAAGGGTAAATCAGAGAGGGAAGAACCTAAAAGAAATTGGTCAGTGAAGGAAAAGAAGACGGGGTGGTAGCTCTGGGCAGGATCAGAGTCTAGGCAAGGTCTGTGTTTAGAGTTTTGCATTTTCTTCCCTTGTGAATCTGTCCCTTCCCTGTCCTTCAGAACGACACCGAAGAGGGAGCTGTTCTTTGTACTTTGGATGGCAAATGTGCTCTTGGTGGCACCTGTGCCATGCCCCCCACCCCTCACCCCCAGCAGCGCTGGTGACACATTGTACTGGACATTTTATTTTTCATTCCTCAAATTGTATTGCTCGTATACTGCTCCGCCAGAACCCAAAGTAACTGGTGCCGGGCTTTAAATTGGATGCTGTCAAAGCTGACGCTGAGAGCTGCCTTTTGTTCAGGGTAAAATGTTCCTCGTGATGACTTGTATTATAGAGCAAACAACCTATCGAGTGCAGTGTCCACACTTACCAATACTGGGAAGGCCTTTAGCCAAGTGGTTGAGAAACAGAAGAAACAGACATTGGATGAAGATCAAGCCCGACTGCAGGCCTTGAAGGTAGGCTGTCCTCCAGTGAGACTCTTGCCTGCCCCCTAAACTCGAGCTTTGGTTCTGGGTTCTGGACCTGCTGGGGCATCGGGGTGGGGAATCCTCAGGGTGGAAACACAGATCCTGAATCCAGAAGTCAGTCAAGTGAGCTTGTAATCTTAGTGAAAGTATCTTTAAATGTTTCTGGTTCTGAATGGAAAAGGCAGCTGGGCTTCGCTTACATTTCTGGAGGCTTTGAAGGGTATTTTTAGTGCTATCCCTACTGTGACTGAGTCCCATTCCAGCTAAGCCACTCATTGGCCTATCTCTGCTTGGAGATTTTGGTAAGATGAGGCTGTGTGTGTCTTCACAATGGCACCTCATATTGATGTAACATTTTTTTTCTTCCTCTGACTAGAGAGTACTTAATCTATTTTCTCCCTTTGTATCCTCCTGACATCCTGAAGGTGGACTGTGGGAAGGACCCCATAGTATTCTACACATTAAATAATTGAGGAACAATACAAGGGCTGCAATTCAAGGTACAGAGAGCAGGGGCAGCTCTCAGTGGAGTAGTAAGATAAATGGATGGGAAATCCAAAGGTTTGCATCTGAGGGTCAGCTCTGCTGCCACTCTCTTGCCAGATAGGGGCACTAATATGTGCGCTGCCCATCTGCCAGAGTGGTTGTGAGCAAGCATGAGCAAGTATGGGGGGGATGGACAGAGAGCAGGGTTGGGTGGAGTTCTCTGGGGAGGCTTCTTGGGAGAGATGAGTTTTGAGCAAAGCCTTAAGGGGCTGTGTAGAGAGTAAGGCCAAGTCAGGTAGTAATACCACTTTTTAAAAATGGAGCATTCTAAATGAATTTCTGTATGTGTTCTGAAACCGCAGTGTCACTTCTCCAAACTCAAGATTTGGTACCACTTGGTGTAGGCCTTCATCCCGCATCCATCCCTTTTGGTTCAGCTGTGCTATCATTTCTTCTAGGAGAAACGTTTAAAAGAAATTCCAGTGATCCCCAATTCTGCCTCCGCAGCTGAGTCTCCAAGGATTTTAGCAGGGAAAAACATAGCTGCCTCACCTGCTGCCGACCTTTTTGCCCCCGTGATGCCCCCACCCACCAGGTGAGATGAACTTTGCGTTTTCTCCCAGTAGTGCTCTGCACAGTGCAGAGGTGTCTGGTTTATGAAGGACTGCATTTTAGCCACTACTTCCTCTGTGTTCCCCTGCCCCTCTGGCCCTGACCGCAGACCCCTGCCTTCACTTGAAGGCTGTGTTGTCCGTCCCCCAGCTGCCAGGCTAGTCCCATCTACCACAGTAATCTTTATCAAATTTGAAGCTTCTTTTATTTCTCCTTTTTGATCATACACCTAACTTTATGAAAAAGCAGTGTGCTGAAGTCTTCACTGGTAGTCCTCTCCTAATTGTCTTTACATTATAACATTCTGTGGGTCTGTTTACAGATGTTGGCATCAGTGTAGACAGGTGAGATTTTGCCCATCCTGCCACCCTCACATTTCAGCAGATTGCCAGTGTACATTCATAACTGATCTAACATTTCAGCCTTGGATCAGGGGAAAGGCAGTGGGCCATAAGAGATAGAAGGCCAGCTTTTGAGTCATGAAGACCTGGGGCAGTCAACTAGCATTGATTAAGTACCTTCTCTGTGCCAGGCACTGTACTAAGAAGCCCTTAAAAAACCAGCCCTGTTCTCCAGGAGCTCGAAGTCTAACAGATTGAAGCCCAGCCCCTGGCCAGGTCACTTCTATGGTTTCCCCTCAGACCATGAATTGCGGAGCTAGTTGCTGATCTACATTACTGGACTGAGTTTCCTCCTTGGGAGTACCTTTTACCAATGAAATCATAGGGCCAGCATTCCCTCCCCCTTCCCCCCCCCCCAAAAAAAAAAAAAGAAAGAAAGAGAAAGAACAATTGACATCAGACATAGTCATAGGTGCACAGTGATGTCATGGAGGAAACTTACTTAGCCAGAGATCAGAAGTACCCCAAATAATCAATTCCATTCCTATACTACAGAGGTCAGCAAACTACAGTCCTCAGGTCAAATCCAGGGCTTTTACAGGCTGGCCCCTGAGAAGCTTTGGTACATTTTGAAACAAGGTTTTGTTGTATCAAAAAATGTAGAGCCACTTCTTAACTAGAGTGGTGGGGTGCCTTACAAAAGCCAAGTGTGGGCCCAGTTTGGCTCTCGGGCACTAGTTTGCTGGCCCCCACCCCACTGCAGCAAATAACAACAGGAAAGAGGTTTCTTTTTAGCAGTGACAAAACCCTCAAATCCTTAAGTGTCTATTTAACCCGGCACACCAGATTGATCTGGAGAAAACTCTAAAATCCAAATGGAACAAATAAAGAAAAACCTGACAAAATTGAGAGAATGCCCTTGGCCCTTTCTGGGCAGTGCATACCGTACCTCAGAGTGCCCTGGGATGGGTCTGAGGCCTCTCTTCAGGTGGTGGCCAGCTCTGAGCTCGGCATGCTCCTGGCCCGACCCTGTCCCCATATCTACAGATCTCTTTGGCTCCCTGTGCCCACTTGGGCCAGCATGACTCACTGTGACTTTTTCTGGTTTCCCCCATTAGGTTTGGGTCTGGTACATTTTCTAATTGTGTTGGGGGGAAGGGGTGGAACCTGGTGTTATTTCCTGCTATTCCATCAGCTTGGCTACCCCTTCTGGATATAGCTTTTTCAAAGATGGAGTGGTATCTTTTTCTTCAAATCATTCAGGGTGTGTGTGTGTGTGTGTCTGTGCTTTTCAGTCTCTCTGTACTTCCTGCTGCCTTCCAGGGATGGTTTCTATGAGAAACCATTCTGAGTAGGGACTTTTTCCAATTCAGCATTGGATAGTTTAGAGGTATTCACATCCCCTCTTTTTCTGTCCCCCCACCCCAGTCTAGCCAACATCTCTGGTAATCTTTTTGGCCTTCAGCCTGCCTTCGTTTTCACCGCACAGAGCACTCCTACTGCGATGGGGACGCCCCCAAGCCAAACCTGGGGAGCAGGTGAGTTTGTACTCTGGCCAAGATACTGAGGCTGAATCTTTGGGAACTGGCATTGTGATAGGAAATCAGGGCTTCCACAGCACTCTTATTTCAGCCCTTTCTGTGGCAACACTCCTTTTTTGACTGTTTTATTTCATTTTATCTTATTTATTTATTTTTTGGGCTAGGCAATGGGGTTAAGTGACTTGCCCAAGGTCACACAGCTAGTAAGTGTTATGTGTCTGAGAACGGACTTGAACTCAGGTCCTCCTGACTCCAGGGCGGGTGCTCTATCCACTACGCCACCTAGCTGTCCCCTATTTTAAAAGGGTATCTTTTCTGCCTTCTGAAACAGAATATACCAAGCATAATGTAGTCTTTACTGTTAAGTAATGGTTACTTGAGGATCTTCAGTATGAACATCAGTTATTTTACACAGCACTGCCTTTCAGGGTCTCCTGTGGTATGTAGGGTTATTTAGTAATGGAACTAGAAAACCAGATTGCCAAATGTGTTAGAACTGTTTGTAAAATAAGAGTAGATCAGCTTCAAGTGAGGGACATGTCTAGGACTAAAATGCATGAACTTGAATGCATGGCCTGTGGTTGTTCAGAAACTGGCTTTGCTTCCTTTCCCTTTCTTGGCCATATTCTGTGTAAGAAAGGCTGCCAGATAGGTGGGAGTTATCATAGGCATAAAGCTGCATCCATGGCTGTGTCCTATGATTCCTGAGAATCGTTTTTTGTTAGAAACTTTGAGGTTGTATTTGTACCTTCACCCCCTAATAGTGCCTCTATATGTCTCACTTACTTCTCAGGGCTCCCTCCATCAGCTCTTCCGGGTTCTGCTCCTTCAGAAGTTGCTGTGGATTTTGACTCTGTGTTTGGAGCAAAGTCACTGGGTTCAGAGTGCAAAGCGGCAAATGGTAACAGCCTCATCTTTTTGATAGTATTTCCACAGAGTGTTCTTGCCCTGTTCTTTGGCCACTGGGCAGTTCTCTGACTTGATGTAAACAATTGTCAGCAGACATAAGCACTGGGAATATTAAATGCTTGTGACTTTGTCTTCAAATGGCAAGTTTGTTGGAAACCCCACCCTTGGCTGTGAGGTGCTGAGGGGCTGGTCTTAACTGGTGGCGGCAGCCTTGAGCACACATGGGGGGCAGGCCCATTGAGACAGGCTTTGATTTGCTTTCACTAAGATCCAAGAGTCTGGAGGTGAGTGAGATCTCAGACAATGCTAGTGGAGTGCCATCTGGGGCAGGCCTTGCCGAATTGGCAAGGTTTCCAGGGTGGTCTTGATTCAGAGGCTCAGCCTCATTCAGTACCAAGAAGCTCATCGTCAGATGTTCAGTCACCAGGTGACAGACAATTCTGGCCACAGCGGCTGCTGACAGTCTGTCCACTGAGTGGTAGAGGAAAAGCAATCTGTTTTTTTGTTTGTTTGTTTTGGTTTTTTTTGGTGAGGCAATTGGGGTTAAGTGACTTGCCCAGAGTCACACAGCTAGTGAGCATTATGTGTCTGAGGCTGGATTTGAACTCAGGTCCTCCTTACTCCAGGGCTGGTGCTCTATCTACTGTGCCACCTAGCTGCCCCGAGGAAAAGCAATCTGTACCAGTGGAGGGAGCACTCAGGCTCGTGCCAAGATTTTATCCACAGCATGTGTGAATCCATGTAATAAGTAGCATGGTTCATATGAGGCTCAATTAGTGTGAAAGTGGTAAAATACTTTTCCTAATGACAAATGCTGGAGGGGCTGTTGGAAAACAGGTACACCAACTCACTGTTGGTAGAGCTGTGAGTGGTCCAAACTTTCTGGAAAGCAATTTGGAACTATGCCCAAAACACTAACTCTTTGACCCAGCAATACCAATACTAGGTCCATACCCCAAAGGGATCAAAGAGAAAAAGGGCCTATATGTACAATAATACTTATAGCAGCTCTTTCTGTGGTGGCAAAAAATTGGAAACTGAGAGGATGCCCATTAACTGGGGAATGGCTAAATAAGTTGTGGTATGTGACTGTGATGGAACACTAGCCTTTAACACAGTGCCTGGAGCATAATTAATAAATAGAAATAAAGGCACTTAATAAATGTTTATTTACTGACTACTATTGTGCTATAAGAAATGATGTGGGGCTGGTTTCAGAGAAACCTGGGCAGACTTATATGAACTGATGCAAAGCAAAGTGAGCAGAATCAGGAGAACAGTTTGTACAGTAACAGCAATAATGTAACAGTGATCAACTCTGAAGACTTAGTGACTGATCAACACAGTGACCCACCACAACTCTGAAGGACTCATGATGCAACATACTGCCCACCTCCAGAGAGGGAGCAAATGGACTCAAGGGCAAATCAAAGCTCTTTTCCTTTCTTTCTCCACACCCTTCCCTTCCCTTCCTCTCTCCTCCTCTGTCCCCCACCCCCACCCCTTCCACATGGCTAATGCAGGACTTTGTTCCTCATGCCTCTACATACTTGTCATGGATCTTGTTTTTCTTACCTTCTCAATGGGTTCAGGTGGGGGAGGGAGAGAATTCAGAGCCTAAAATAAAATTGAATTAAAAAAAGACTTTCCCTGCATTTCTATGTAATGACTGAAAATATTCTTTGTTGACCTTGATATGTTCTCTCTGTTTTCTTTTGCATGCTCTTTGAATGGATCACACCTGCCACCTTGTGATGGGTGAGTTTGAGCCCAAGCCTTTCCAGGGTGGTCCCTCCAGTCCCCAGGGGAAAACTCAGTGACAAAGAGAGGCACTGCCTGCATTCTGGGGTCGCTGGAGGGGGTGGGAGGAAGAGGAGATTTTGTAATAACTGAGCTTCACAAGCAGCTTTTGGAGGGCTTTTCTCAGCTATGGGTACAGTGGAATGCCCCTCAGAGTGGGCTGCCTTGCCTGTAGCTTTGTTGCACTCACAAAAATATCACCTGGTCACAGCATGGGGTGAGTTGCCATTTGATTAGGTATAGGGTACTGGTCTCTGATTTCCTTCTTCAAGCAGGTCAGGGCTTATCTCTGCTGCTATAGTGTTAGATTGGTGCATAGGGCCAAGAAGGGACTTGCTCAGACACAGACTCCCAGCCAGGATGGCTCTAACTTAAACCAAAGTCATCTTCCTGGCTTTAACAGCAGCTCTCTAGCCACTGGGCCCTGCTGCCTCTCACTCTTCTTTGATGAAAAGAATTAATCTGCACAATCTCAGTGCAGGCAGTGAGGGATAGTGTATATGTCATTCTACCTTTGGTGAGCCATAGAGCCCCTCCCTCAGGCTGCTCAGGAGCTCATACACTCAATCAGTCAGTCAATAAACTTTTATTAGGCACCTGCTCTGTGCCAGGCACTGTGCTGAAAGCTGGGAATACCAAACGAGGCAAAAGACAGGCCCTGCCCTGAAAGAGCTTACAGTCTAATGAGGGAGAACTAAACACACTAGCCAATTCTTCATAGAGCAAGAGCTGGCATGGCCAGTCAACTGTAGGTCAGATTGTGGCACCAAGGTACAGATGGGGAATAGTGAGCATATTCTGAACCCTGGTCCGTGGCCACTTCTGTGGCCCCCATGCCAGCCTGTAAGATGTCTGAATACAGATTTCCTGACGACGATGTCATGGGAAAGCTTTGGCACCTTCTCTCAGGGCCAAGAGCTGCCAGTCACAGCTCTCTTCTTTCTGGTAAAGCTCTTATTTCCATGGCCCTTTTTTTATTTTTAAGAAATCTTACAGCTGTTTTTTTTTTCCTTCATATCATCTTTATTGCCCAATATATCTCACCCTGTGATATGTGTCCCTTGTAACAAAGAATAAGAAAGGCGGAGGGGAGGAAGCTTTTCTGCTAAACTAAGACACCAATCTAATCTTGACTGTGTATGTAGTGTCCCACACCCATGGTCCCCTTACTTTTTCAGAGGAGTAAACGATTTTTTTTCCCAGTAAATTAGCAGAACCAGGGTTTGAACCAAGGTCTTTCTTCTGACTCCAAATATAGCATACTTTAAAAAAAAGAATTTTAAAGTATATGTTAAATTTAACACAGTAGTAACAATTCAAAGACTAGAAGTTGCAGAAGAGGAGTTGACCTGCATTGGAAGGAGGAATTTCCCCCTCCAGGAGTTCCTTAAACCATTGAACTCACAGGCCCCATCCCTATCCCTATGACTGATAACCTGCTATTCCTAAAGGGGAGAGAGTTTTCTGTATGTTTCCTGCTGTTTCAGACCTTAAGAAATGAGATAAGACAGAGTACTTGCCCTCCTGGGGCTTCCAGTCTTGTGGGTAATTGAATGTATAGGGGGGTATCATGGCATCTAGGATAGTTGCTCTTGAGTTGGGCTTTAAAGGATGGTTGAGAATTCAACAGGTGAAGAGGAAGGAAGAGGACCTTATAGGGAGAATGTTGGAAGGGCAGGGCCAGGGCCAGAGAGTAGCATAGTTTGCCTGGAACCCAGAGTCCATGAAGCAGAGGTGTAGGAAAATGAGAGGGAAAGGTAGAGAATGGGGCTTGGGGCTCATGTGGGGCTTATCAGTGAGGGCTTTTTTTTGGTGAGGCAATCAGGGTTAAGTGACTTGCCCAGGGTCACACATAATATATTCACCTTTTTTTTTCACCTTTTTTTTCCCCCTTTTTGGTGAGGCAGTCAGGATTAAGTGACTTGCTCAGGGTTACACAGCTAGTTAAGTGTCAAGTATCTGAGGCCAGATTTGAACTCAGGTCCTTTTGACTCCAAGGCCAGAGCTCTATCTACTATGCCACCTAGCTGCCTCTCAGTGAGGGCTTTTAAAGCCAGGCCTGAGAGTCTTTACTTACCAGGCACTTGGGAAGAAGACAGCAGGCCCTTGCTGAGAAGGATGATTCTGGCAGTGGAGTAAAAGAGAAAGAGACAAGAATGAGAGGGGGTAGGAAGATCTGCTAGGAAGCCCTTGCAAAAGACAGGCCTTGCCCTGGGGCTCAGGGTGGCAGTGGTAGAGGCGAGGAGAGAAAGCATTCCAGGCATGGGAGGACCCAGCCACTGCAAAGGCCTGGAAGTGGTAGATGGTATGTTATATATGGGCGATAGCAGTCAGGCCAGTTTGATTGAAGCATGGAATGGGCATGGACACTGAGGGGTAATACTGTGAAATCAGGGTGGGAATAGAAGCTGGAGCCAGATTGTGAAGGGCTTTAAATGCCAAGCAGAGGAGTTTGTTATTTGATCTTTGAGGCAGTGGGGAGCCACCGATGCTTCCTGGGAAGGAGTGACCTGGTGATGTACTTTAAGAATATCACTTTGGAAGCTCCATGGAGGATGTGTTGGAGAAGGGTCAGACTGGAAGAGAGAGATGACCATGTGAGTGGAGAGACAGCAAAGGATGGGAGAGAGGTTGTGGAAGTGAAACTAACGAGATATGGCGCCTTATTGGCTATGTGGGGTAATGACTCTGAAGAGCCAGGGGTATCCTGGGAAGACAGTGGTACCCTTTGCAGCAAGGCTTTTGGGCCTTTGTTAAGCTTGAGATGTTCGGCTCAGGTGGCAGCCCAGTGTGGTCTGAAGCACCAGTTGTCCCACTTCCATCCTCTGTGGTCTCTGGACATGAGCAGTAAGGACAGGGGGAGTGGAATATGATCTCTATACTTACTCACAAGGTGTATTTAGAATCTAGCATTTGGGTACAGACAGTTGTTTAGTTCTTGCTTCTTTAGAGGCATTAATTCATAAGCATGGAAAGTGGACACTAACATAAATACCTCAGGATGTTAAGTTGGTTCTCAGTATCCATTGAGACAACATCCAGACCATCATTGAGTAGACTTTTCCAATCATGAAGTGGTTTCTATATTGCTTGTTTACAGGCAGTATGGCTTAGTGGATAGAGTTCTGGACTTGGAATCAGGAAACCTACACATCATATCCTGCCTGTAATACTAGCTGTGGAACCTTCAGCTCTGTTTACTTCAGTTTCTTCACCTGAAAAATGGGGATAATAACAGCAGTCATCTCCCAGGGTTGTTGTGAGGCTCAGATGAGATCCTCCAATAAGGGATATAGAGATGTTAGCTTGAAAAATAAGAAAGCCTTAGGGCAGAAGCCAAAAAAGTCTCATCAGCTTGCCAGCTGGTCAGAAATGGCGGTTCATTAAGCAAGTGAAAACTGCCACATGGGCCTGTTTTTAAGGGGTTGGAAATCAGATCTGCAAGCCAAGTCTATTTGTTACCACAGCGCTCTGCCACCTCTCCCCCCACCACCTCCACACACACACTTGCCGAGAAGCTGAGGCTCCCCCCAGCCAGAGCAGAGAGCTGACTCTGGCTTCACTATCTTAAGACAAACATGGCCAGATCTGATTCTGATTCCTGTCTTCTTTGCACGTCTGGGCTTAGATAACGCCGCAGCCCCACCAGCCTTAGCTGCTCAGGAGCACAAAGAGGTTGCACTCAGCCAGCAGAGTGGGACAGTCCTTGGGAATGACCTGGACACCTCCCTTGCTAACCTCATGGGAAGTAAGTGCTCAGTTTGATTGCTTACTGATAATAATGATAGTAATAGCTAATATTTATATAGCACCTATGAAGTGCTAGGCACTGTGTTAAGCACTTTATAAATATCTCATTTGATCCTTATAACAACCCTGGGAGGGAGATGCTATTTTGATCCTCTTTTTACAGATGAGGAAACTGAGGCAGGCAGAGGGGTGTATTTACATATAAACATTTAGGTATATATATGTCTCTTCCTCTCCTCTCTTCTCTCCTCCTCCTCTTCCTTCTCTCTCTCTCTCTCTCTCTCTCTCTCTCTCTCTCTCTC